AACACGACGCCTTATTTAGGAAGCGACTCTCTGGAAGACTCGACACTGGATAGATTTCCATCGAGCTGTTCACTATACAATACACGTAGAAAGGCCTGATTGCGTTTCCATTTGCCTTTCACGTCAATCGCACGCATATGCAATTTATGAGGTCACATGAGGATACTAGGATCAAAGAGTATTAGGGGGCGAAGAGGATCAAAACCTTCTTGCATAACAGCTGACTGAATTAGGGATACAGGGTCCGTGAATGTTGGATGTTTACAAGAGAGGTGTACAACCGTGAGATTCGTAACGAATAAATATAAGTTTCTCAGACAGTCCACTTCATTCTCCATCTTCTATCCCAGTCCTTGATATTATGACGTTGAAAAGCGTTATCCTCGTATACACTGCGATACAACTGTCCGCTAGCGACCAGCAGGCGCTGCTCAACGCGTTAAACCACCCACAGAGGCCGATACAAACAGAAAATTCGATTTCCTTCGCCTTTGCCGATACGGGCATAGTGGGAGGAGGAGAGAGCATTTTGCCATTGCACCAGGTGTCCCTCCGTACGGAAGTTGTCGACATTGACGAGTCATTTGTTGTTTTGGCGGACGAAGGTGTTGCTCCTTCATCTCATCCACGGACGGTTTTGCTGGTAAAAATCCTTGACGAGGAGAGTGTGCAGAGGGGTGAAAATGGGTACCAAACGATCCGTGTTTTAGCTTCCAATGCGGCCGAGGTGCTCGCAACAATTTCGAGCGGTCGGCATGGGTGGGAGGATTACTGGAAAGTTGCGCAAGTAAATGGCGGTCATTTCCCCGGCGAATAATCGGCCATACGTCGGCGACGATACAGAGGCAAGTTGTTTACCGTTTTTTCTTGGTCCAAGACCTGATATATCGCGAAAGAGTCATCAGTGGTATTTGGTCTTCATCTATGATAGGCACGCCATTATCGCGAAAGAGTCATCAGTGGTATTTGGTCTTCATCTATGATAGGCACGCCATGGCTCTCGAGAATTCGTGTATCTTTGAAACTCATTCGTTGACGAGGTTTGTGATGAAATTCTGTTATGATAACAATCAAGGGAGAGCAAGTTGCTGTCAAGTGGTGCTCATCGATCTCATTACACGCAAGCGTAAAGAAGATTCAACATATATTAGGGATACTCGAAAGCAAGCCTGCAATGAAACCTTTTTCGGCAGAGTAAGGACAACCCGAGATACAAGTAATCGGACGTAAGATTCCGGAGTGAGTTTTCTCCTAGGGCAACTTAGCCGAGAGCTTGAGAAGGAGGTGATCATCCTTGGAAACAATCATGAAGCATGCTTGCGGCGCCAAATCGTAACAAGAGGGGACGCCAGTAAATATGTCCGGCAATTGTTGCGGGTAAATGAGCTCAAGGGAGCAAAAAATCGCGGCCACAAGGCAGCTTTGGTAAAGGTTGGACTGTCTACCAAAAGTTTAGTCATATCCATTACCACATTACCCATGGCTATACCTGAGGTTGGTCGAGCTGAAACTATAAACCAATAAGGCTGAGAGATTACGAGGAAAGGCTCCCGGCATTTGCCGCACTTAATCAACGGAAAAAACGCGTCGCGTCTCCGACTCGGAGACAAATTTAGTCAATTTGAACTTCGATGTTCAGCGACGCGTCTTCCACGTCCGATTGTTTGCATCCTACTCTTTTCAACGAGGCATCCCTGGTTTCATGTCATCAGCCTTGGACATTGAAGTAGGGTCTGTGACTTCGGAGGCCGAAATAGACATGACACCGCAAATTTCCAAAGTCCACGGGTCTTTCTCAATGCGAAAACATCTTAACTCCGTGCTGAACACGTCTCTAGATGCATTTGATGATGGGTACTGCGAACTTTGTGATCTGCGATTTGCTTGATGGGACTCAATGCGTCTCAGAACCTATATGTTGGACCGAGGCTTTTCCTCGTATCAAATATATCGTAGCTCGGGTGACCCTTCAAGCAAGTTTTTCTGTCTCACGCTAAACTACAAGACACGTCTTTTTCTTATGCACATTATGGGGGACCAGCAATGGGTAGCTGCCCTTTAGTACAAGTGAAGGCGAAAGGAGAATGTGTTTCGTTGTTTTTTCCCTTTTGCTTCGCGTTCCACTCCAATTCAGGCAATCGTTGGATATGCTTAGGACTCAAGGAAGGCATGTAGCCATAAAGGCGATATTATTCGGGAGCAAGGAACATCATATCTTTGAACACCTTCAGAATATACTCATCCTGGAGCGAGGGTTGTTGGATCGCGCCTCGGTCCGTCCCTTCTTTGGAGAATAACGCGAACCACTGAACATTCAAGATGGGGCTCGTTTCTTCTCCAACTAGGTTATCGTAGTATGAAGGAAGTATACCACTTTATCCACTGTCTATTAAAGGTTAGTGTTCATTTTCACCGTCAGAAACAATGCCACCACACCTTACATCCAGGGTCCACTATCTCAATTTATATAGATGGAGCATCTTGACGTCTTTGAACACTTGACCGGCGTTGTTCAAATAGTGTTCGGCACAAAATATACTCGTCAACAACATTGATGGACATTATAATGACCCGTATAACCTCCGTCGTGCGTCTTTGTGTACACGGGAAAATTGACCTATGTTCTGTTTGATTTTGGTCATTCAACCATGTTTCCGCAATCTGCACGGTATCAATGAATGCTGATTTCCTAGCGGGCTCTCTTTTCGCACCTACCCGTCGCAACATCCCGATGATACTCATCAGGGGAAAATCGATTTTGATCCCTTTGTTTTTGATATTGGTATGCTGGGCGTTCTCTTTTGTAAAGAATTCTGGACGAGTTACTATGATTACCGTCATTTTTGTACTTATCATCTGATTATGGTACAGCATCTTACAACCTTGGCACCTAAGTTGGTACCCCTTCTCGACATGATGACAACAAAAAACATCGCTTTGAGCTGTCTTTCCTTAGTGACGTCGGATGTGTTATCGTGGCATATCGTCTGGACTGGAATACATCACAGGTTTGGTAACTTTCTACTATGCCCCTCCGCCGGGAAGATATCAAGTCAACCGATCCAAACTTTGCCAAGTTCCCTGTTTGGCGTGTGGATACCATCCATGAGTTCAATCTATTCGATTCGGCAACAGCGATCGCTCCAGGCATGGTGGAGAGCAGTCCACCCCTAATCTCTTACTGTCTATGTTTTGCACTTATCTCCTCGGAGTCAATATTCTATAAAGCGTCGATGTTGACGCGAGGGGTCTTTCAGAGCTCTTGTTCCAGCAATGTTCACCTCGACTCACTCAAACTCGCCCCTTTATGACTCATTCTCCTTTGCGCCACCAATGCCAGACTTCAGTCGGTCACCGTGCCCTGCTCTGAATACTCTAGCAAACCATGGCTATATGTAAGTTCCAACTTGCGTTCTATGACTAGAGATTAACACTCATTTCCTCAACTTTAGTCCTCGAAATGGGACCAACATTCCATTTTGGACACTCTTCACTGCGATACGACACGTTTACAACCTCTCATTTCCTCTTGCGATGCTTCTCACAACCGTTGGCTATTTCACCTGCGGTACCCTTGCCCTCTTTCCTACAGAACCGTCGCCGCCTCACGATAAGACCCTACTAACAACGATCACACGCTTCCTTCCATGTCCATCATGGACCCTTGACCTTGCCTCTCTCTGCACCACTGGACCGTACAAAATTGCACACGACGCATCGCTCGTTCACAAATATGTCCCTAGATCTGCTGCGGATCCTGCGCTGGTGGCGCAGCTTCTTACGCTAGCACATCATACTCACCCCTCCTATAACATGACTTCTATCCCAATCAAGTCAAAATACCAAGACGGTCTGACACTGTGCGATCTCGGCTGCCTGCACGCGGAGCGCGAAGATGCGCTGCCACCTACGCACAAGCTCAACAAGTTACACGAGCAGGTGGCGCTTGGGGAATGCGGGCTCGCGTGGTGCGTTATGCGAACACACGACGAAGACGCCGAGCAGGGTGTCATCCCTGCAAGAGTTCTGGAGCAGTGGTTTGGAGAGGAACGTTTGCCGGACGGATGGTGGGACGTCGGCGGCAGTAGGCCCATCAGCGAGGTGGGTTTGAGGGAAGCAGCCAAACGAGCAGCAGAAGTGGGCCTCTTCGAAGATCAAAATTAACTCGAACATTTTTGTCTATACTTTACTACGGAATACCATAAAATTTTCGTTAGTAAAAGAAAACAGCTTGATGAAACCATGAGCTGTGTACATGCGATATGCAACATGAAAGTGCTTGGCTCATTTGGAGACTGTCTATTCTTTCACTGACTTGCACGAATGAATATGTACATGTGAAAAGATCTCGAGACGCGACACTAACTCAAACGCCCGTAGACTTATGAATATCTCTTCCACATTTGTCGCCCAATGCCGCGTATCCGGATTGAACGAGTGATCTTCTCATACGGCTACTGTGACTTGCACCAACCGCAGCCGGGCACGATCGAATAAGGCCGGATGTCGCCGACCCATGTGTCCTCATTGCGACGGACATCGCTCAGTTCTGGTCTTTTGCCTCTACACATGTCCAAATCTGTCGTGATTAAATGATTGCGCTCATTTTATATCAATCCCATTATTGAAAAGATTGGTTGAGCAAGGAATGGAAAAGGAAGTCAAATTTGGGAAGCAGGTGGACTGTCCTGATGAGGACATTCTTCTCCCGTTCATGTTTAGTGCGAGGCATGACTAATAAGCTGTAAATGTTGGCTAACGTATTATGAACACCTACCTTGAACGCTGGCCTGAACGACAATACTCAACTTGGTCAAACTCCGCTAGGTTTGGATGCAGCAAGGACGAAAAAGCTGTAACTGCCCATTCAAGGTTCAGTTCATTCATCTGATAATGAGTTAATCAATTGAGATTGAAGCTTGTGAGAACTTTGAATTGCCCTCAATGTTGTAAACTGTCCCATTTGTATGCTTGCGCCACAAAAAAGACCAGAACATTGCTGCCACGTACCCGGATTGAACGAGTGACCTTCGCATACACTTTGCTGACGGAAGACAGCTGTTACAAGTGCGACGCGCTACCACTACGCCAACGCGGCCGTCATAAGAGTGCGCAGAAGGTAGAGGAGGATGGGGGAAGGAAGGAGAGATGGCACAATGGCCGAATGTGGCATGTCGAGCCGATGTTCTCGGATAGAGATCAAACTCTAAATATTCTAAAAATAGCACTTAGGATAAGACCTTTGCAGCCGTACAAGATGTCTGAAGCAGATTCTCACCGAAATACATCCATATAAGCATATGATCAGTTGAAAGCCAGTTTTGTGCCTCTGATTTCGTTCTGTGAATAGCTTATTGACCTTGAAGCTCGTTAAGGAAAGATGTGTGTGCCCCTACTATTCACCGATGCACTGGGAGATTGTCGACTCTTTTGAACCAGGTGCACGACGGCTGAATGTGTCTTAATACACTGGTTGCACATACGTACGAAGCAGGTCTTCAGCTGTTTTCAGTTGCACCATGAGAAGGCACGATTTACAAGCGAGTCACCCGGTCGCGCTGAAATGGCTCAAAAGGCGGTACCTACCCGCCCAATTCGAGACATCTTCCCTTTTCCGCAATTTGCATAGTCCAGATGTAACTGTAAAGTGCACAGGGTCAAAAGGTCGCCTTTTCAACCGTATCATCAGGACCTCCTCCAACTTTTTTGTCACGTACCGACAACACCCAAACCAAGAAATATCATTCGTACCTTGACTGCCCCGCAACTCGGATAGTTCCAAGTGTACATACCCTGCGCAGCGGATCATGGTTTGAAAGGAATGTCGCGCTTTCGAATTAAAGTTCGGTTGGAGGAAGTAGTCAGGGAACTTGATTTAAACATCGATTCCTCTCGTGGGTCCGCGGCGCATAGTGAGTATGAATAATAAACCGCCGCGCTATGTTCATACGGACATCTACCGCCAAGACTCGCCGGACGCGGTAACGAGACAATGTATTCCCGGTTATACTTACAATCATCAGTGAAGACATCAAATCCGTCATACCCAAGACTCGATATATTCTGGCCAAGATGCGAACGCAGACTCGGACAAGCAGCAGTAGTTTCCCAGAAGAAGAAGAAGAAGAAGAAGAAAAATCCTCACGATCTCGTCTAGTCCATCTCAGTAAGGTACCCAACGCCGAGGGGCGACAGTGGAGGTTCAGGCACGAGCTCGAACAAGGACAAAGTCTACAAATCCCCTGTGAAATACGCGACCCCCAAGCGAACAGAGATGGGTATTATAAACCTCACAGGACCGCCCATACACTGATATTACTAGTCTGTTCTCTACGTCGTGCGAAACGCAAAAGTGGTTTTTCGATAGCGAGAAACGTTAATCAATGGCGGTCAACGGTTTCGCGAGAGAAGCCGGCGGCATAAGCCCTTGATTGACATCGAGCGCTGTACGATATTATGTATGTAAATTCATACAATACAATCGCAACGCAACGCAACACCCGCCCACACTCACACCCGCAAAACGAACGAAATAAATTATATAATGATGAATGCGATGTGCAAAACCACAAAGAAAAAAAAAAAAAAAAAAATTATACAACACTCCTAAGCCTCTGCAGACCCCCAAACCCCAAACCAAAACCCTAAATCTTCAACTCCCTAAACCCTCTCACATCCACCCTCCCCGTCCCATTCCTCACCCACTCCTCATCTCCCTCTGTCGTCGTACCCGTCGCGCGCTTAAACCGCCCGCCGGGAATAACAATCTTCCCTGCCCCCGCCCCCCTCGACTTTATCGGCAACCCCAACGCCTTGCGCTGTCTCCTCGTCAACAATCTCTCGCCCCCACATTGGCGCTCACGTTCGCGCAGACGAAGCTGGCGCTTCGTCAGCACCGACGCGTTGTCGTCCGTTTGCGCCCCTCCGACTTCGGGTTCAACTTCAACTTCAGAGTCCGGCTCGGAAGCGGAAGCAGAGGACGAGAGGGGCGTCAACGTCAGCGAATCGAGTCCGCCACCGAGATCCATATCGGCGTCTTGGGTCTGGCTTGCGGATGAGGAGGATAGGGACGAGCTCGAGGGGGGTGAGAGTGCGGGTGTTGATATGTCTTCTTCTTCGTCTCCGGGTGTGGATATGTCTTCTTCGTCTCCGTCTCCGTCCGGATCGTCTATGGGACGACGCCGCGCGGGGAAAGTGGAAGGAGCGCGCCGGGAGCGCTTTACGGATCCAGAGGAGGAGCATTCCGACTCGTCGCCTGTCGTGTCGAGCGCGCGTTTGGGCGAGGCGTGCGTTCTATATTGGGTGTGGGCGTGGGCGTGGGTGTGCGGGTTTGGGCGGGGGGCGGGGACGGGAAGTAAACGTGAATGTGCCAAATGTGGCGCAGGTGCGGGTGCGGGTGCGGGAGGAGGAGAGGCGGCGCGGTTTGAAGGGAGGGGTACGGTCGTTGGGTCGGTTGGTGGACCCGGGCTTCCGGACTTTGAGAGCTTGAGCGTGACTTTTTTCTTCTTGGTCGTTGTCGTCGGTGCGGGTGGTGGGGGTGGGGTCTCGTTGATAAAGGGGAGGCCGGTGTGTGGGCCGCGGAGGTTACGGATGGAGGAAAAGTGTTCCCAGTCGTGGTATCTGTGGCGTGTGTGGGTTGCGTGGGTCAGGGGGGATAGGAGTAGAGAGACTCACGCGACGTAGATTGTGTCGTTTTCAGACTGCAGATGTGGGTCTTTGGTGGGTTTGTTGTCTTCTGTGCGTGGATCGGTGATCGTGAGGGTCTTGTCTTGATCTTCTTCCTCACTCTCCTCGTCATACCGATACCCGCGATACTTGACCCTAGGACTCGGCGGTGGACTCGCAAAGGCCCTCCACTCAATGACATAGACCAAGCCGGGCTGGACAACCTTTACGTCCCGCTTCTCCATATGGGCAAACGCACTGAGCTCGAGATGGCCGCCATAGGTGGCGTTCTCCCTCATACACGACAAATGAGTGTCGAGGCCGCGCTCGTCCTCGACAAAGGGGGCATAGCGGTCGCTGTGACGGGCAAGCCAGTCGCAGATGCGCTGGCGGAGCTCTGTGTGGCGGGAGGGCGTGCCGTAGAGCTGATCGGAGAGGGCACGGAAGAGACAGTTTCCGTCGCCGAGTGTGTCGGCGGCATAGAGACCGAGGGCGCGGAGCTGGGATGTAAGGAGTGCGCTGTTGGCGGCGGGGTCGGCGGTCCCGGAGAGCAGCTGAGGTAGGGTTAGGGTTGGGATGTGGGGAAAGGGGGGGGGAGATTACGCACGCGGCCTTTGGAAGAACGGGTCTGGCGGGAGCGGACTGGGTGGTAATGAGAATAAGAAAAGACAGTGATGATTCAAAGAAAAACGCACGCTGTGGCGGGGATTTGCCCTTTTTCCTTGCCGAGCCCATGGTGTCGTGGGTGATGGACGTTGCTTGTTTGGCTTTTTATTTGGCCACCTCGCATGATCATCGACACCAAGTCGCCGCCGCCGCCCTACGTCGCCGCCCGCCCGCGGCCCCACGGCTCGCTCTCCGCGCTGCCGCCGCATCTCCTGCTGCGGATCATCTACCTCACTTTCCCCCCCTCCGACCTCCCCGGCCAGCGCAAAACCCTCTCCTGGCTCTCCGTCTCCCTCCGTCTCGTCGACTGCACCCTCTACACCGCTTCCATGCACGTCCTCCGCTCCACTCACATCCCCCTCTACGACGCACGACTCAGGCAACCCTATACCTCCGATCCCTTCCCCCAGTCCCCCGGTCCCCTCGCCTCCGTCCAGCGCGAGACCGCCGTCCTCGACCGCTTCATCGCCCTCAAAGTCCGCGAGGACGTCTGGGCCGACGACTCGGAGCTCCATCTCGACCGCGACGAGGCCTACAAAGACCTCTTTGACCATGCCCAGCCCCGTGCTAGGCTCGAGGACCTCGTCAGGCTGTATGGCATCCAAAGTGGCGTTGTCAATGAAATGTCGCGTGCGTATATTTCTTGCGTTTAATCTCACAATCTAATCTACCCTATACAGTCCCCCAACCCGACCTCCCTCCAACGACCTCAACAACACCTGCCCCTCCCTCTCCCATTTCCCCACGCAGATCCCTCTTTTCCATCTTCAAGTCCAAATCCACATCTTCTCCCGCCCCCTCCCCATCCATCACCCCCGCAAACAAACCCACCCCCATACCGATCGCCGATCTCTCCATCGCCCTCACCCCCCGCAGCGCCGGCCTCGTGCTTTCCCCTTCAAGACGGACCATCGTGTCCACCCCAAGGACGACCGACGAGCCCCTCGAGGATGTCGCCAAGAGGCTGGTTAAGGAGCTGCAGGCCTTGTGAGATCTACGGCTATGCTTTGTGATTCTGTACTATATGTACTTGTGAGATCTGCGGTGGACCTCTATGCTGTATGCGACGTACTTTATTGATGATTTCCCTCTGTTTCCATAGTTACAATCTACATTGCTATTCACTCATGTTGTTATGATATCGGATTCAATATATATTCTGTTAGGATCCTACAAGTATGGAGGCTTGTTGCAATCGGTTGTCGTAGGATGATGGGGAAGAAACCGGGATAAAGTTTGGTGGCTTTGGAGGATTTTGGATTGAAACGATGGTTGGGGTTCAATGATCAGGGCACAATCGATAATGGCGAGAACCTTTGGGAAGGGTAAGTATAAAAGGACGTGTATGATACGATGGAATACAAGTTTTTTTTTTCTATGTGAGCTTTTTTGATTACTTCTGAGTTGCTTTCAAACAGAATCGTCGTCACTTCTGGATTAGTTGCCTCATTGTTTCATTGTCAGCTCATCTTGCCAGCATTCTCATCACCGACTACGCAACTGAGCTCGCCATTCGACACAGCGACAAAGCCTAAGCATCATTGAGGTCAGTCAGTTCCTACTAACAGTCGCTAAATCGCACTGGTCACCAACCCTTCACACACACCCATGTCCTCGATCGGTATCACAGACTCACAATGTACTCCACCCCAGCTCAAGCTAAGCTTTTACAATCCGTCACTCATCACCAATATGTACTTTGCCATCTTTGTTGATTCAGCGATATCTTACCTGACCTGACCTAGTTCTGCTCCCGTATAGTCAGTA